TGTTAATGAGTAGGTTGGTGTTCTCATGCTCCGATATTAATGTTGATGAGTTGCAACGAGTTATGACGTCGGAGAATCAGAGATTTTTGGTAGAATCGTGATATGACGTGGGATGAGAAGAATCTATCCTAATTGAGCATCTTGTTTTAACTAGTTTCAATTCAATGTACAACAATGAAAAAGAGCCACATATTAATAAATTTACACTACTAGAAAAATTGCATTTTGCAACGGACAGAATGCGTTGTAGTAGGTCTTATCAAAGTGTACATGTAGCTGCTTACGACATTCTCGTGACGACTAAGTTGAACCTACCATGTAAGAGATCATAATATAGATAAACGTCTATCTTAGTACACTCATTGCTTCAATACTCATCATGCGAACTTCTTATTCTTTAAACGAGTTGCACCTACATGACATAATATGTTTCAAATAAATCCAAATTAAATGAATATAATTAATTTAATAAGAATGTTACAGAAAGAAGACGCCAAACATACTAACCCCTCAAATTAGTACTTCTTCCCATAGGTTGAAAACCATCCCCCCGAATAGTACAGATCTACCTCCACTTCGTTTGCCACTGCCAATCTTCTCCATCGTAAGGATGTTCTAAAAATTATAGAGAGCGGAAAAAAAAAGAAAGATAAAAAAAGATGATACAATTATGGGACTTGGTTAATTTGCTAACAGATAGAAGGTTATAGTTTAGGGATGGGACATATAAAACATGGGACATGCTTGGTGTACATAATTTTTTGTACATAGAGGTGTCCAAACCCTCACATGGGGTGAGACCCATTTTTTATGTACACCAAGAATTATCCACATTAAGTAGAGATAAAGTGGGTCACAAAAGTTATAGCAATGACAAGTCATAGGGTCAGTAGCACCTATATCAATTATCCAATCACTATCTTCAATAAAAATAGGAAGACAGAGATCAGATTTAGACGTAGACTCGAAGGCATGAGATGCCATCTTATCCTTCTGATACCGGCCAAGATAATCATGGAGCTCAAAGTAGGTATCAACCACATGGTTATTCATGGAGCTCAAAGTAGGTATCAACCACATGGTTATCTCCATTGAAATGGGTACACTTAATAACACCTTTCTTTTGATGAGAGAACGATTTTCGAGCAACCATAAGTTTGATTTGATGTCTTACCAAGCATGGCATCTTGGTGATTCGCCTCAACGCACATCATATCTTAAACAGTATGCAGCAGGGGCAGAGCCCAATGAGGTCCCAGTGCATGCCTGTGTCTGTACTAAACTTTTGGGCCCAACCCTATGGCCCAATTTTTTTTTGGGAAAAATTCATACTTCAGGTGTATGGTTTACACCAATTCAAAAGTCAGATAGATAGTTTAACAATTCAAAAATCAAGTATTAGGTAATTAATTAAAAATATTTATTACTTGGGTTACAATTATACAATTAATGATCACATATACATAATTATAGGTCACAATTTATTTATTTGTTACATATTATCAAATTAATTAGTCACTGATGATTTCAAGGTCACAAATTCAAAAAATTATAGGCCACAATTAATTTCATTGGTCACATATTTTTAAACTTGTTGGTTACAGATTATTTTTCAGTCACATATTGTCAAA